GGGGGGGGGGGGGGGGGGGCGATGGCATAGGGCATAGGGCTTTGAATCGGTTTTCTAAGAATTCGAAGAAGGATTCTAGGGGTTTGGGTGTGGCGCGAGTTTCTGGCTACGGGCTTTGCACTTTGAGTAGGCTTTGGCCTCAGGGGTGTGGTGAGGCTTTAGGATTGCCAATGGCAGCTGACAAAAAATGAGGAACCCTTCATCGAACCCAAACCTACAGAGGCCTTATCAATCCCACTTAACTCAAAGCCCACTCCTGGCTGGAAGGCAACCATGCAAGAGTCGCTCTTGGACACTCGGACAACGTCTGCATCTGCGTGCTGCACACCACGAGGCACGGCAGCCGGAATTCCCATATCGTCGGCTCTACATGCTTCACCGGATTTCGGGAGGCCATCCTTGTGTTCCACGCCTCAAAACACCTTCAACAACTGGCCCTGCTCATGGAAGTTGTAGCTCAGAAGGTCCCAGGCCTATAGAGAGCAGAGAGTTTCGATCTGCAAGCCTGCAAGTTAGTTATGTACTAACTGAATATATGTATGCATACAGTGTACATATACACGGATATGTGTGTATATGCATCTATCGCCCTCTATATTTGTTACGTGTATGTGCGTGTATACGTATGTGTATATATATATCTCTCTTTCTCTCTCTTTCTGATCTTTGCATATTAATGCCAGGAAGAAGGGCTTTCCGTAACAAGTCTTACACACCATCAAGAAACATTTATGTCAGGAGTCGCTTTGCCAACGCTTTTCATGCACTTCTCAAACCCCTGGATCTGTGACTCTATACCAGACAACCCCAGACCATAAACCCCTGAAGGGTATGGCGCCGTGCTGTTCGTGGCTACGTTGCTTGCCCTTCTCGCCGCCCTCCGGGAGGCTAGTTGTTTCAAAGTGTTGAGGATGCGTTCTGTTTGGGGACCCTGAATCGTAGAGACCTTGGGAAACAGATGGCAACCTTTTTTCACTACGATGATTTTTTTTGCGAGGCGAAGGACCTAAAACCAAGCCCCAAGTCCTGTGCTCCCTTGAGAGGTTGCAAATTCTAGTTCGTAGCCCGCGAAGCCATAGAACCTAGGGTTCGGGATGAAGGAATGACAGGATTGATCGAGGTGTTTGGTCCTTTCTGAAGTAGTCTAAACAGTTCTGCCATGTAGACGGTACATGTCATACTTTTCCACATTAAGGACATGCACCTACACGTTCGAGAAGACAGTATACAGTATACATGTGTATGTGTATATATAT